ATCTATTTACTATTTATTTCTATTCATGGTTCACCCAGAATCTCAGTTGTAGGTGGAAAAGGTGGGATATTAATAAAACAAACTTTTATTCTCATTAGGATTTCAACCAAATCTCAAATTTCATCCAGATTTTATTCAAAAATTATCCATGAGTACTATTTTAAATTGTATTTACCTTATATTAAACCATTTGATTTTATCTTGTTCACTTTTAGTCTATACTGTTAGTGTTTTAACTAAAATAATTTCAAAAATTCCAAATTGTTTTTAATTTTTAATTATTTTATTTGATGATGTCCTCAGATACTATGATATAGGGCAAGACATAAACAACAAAAAAAGAAAAAAAGAAAATATTTTTCAAATGTAACCCTATAAGAAGTTAACTGGAAACAACCGGGTAATCCACAATTCAATGAAATTGATGGTTTGAGACCAGGGATGATTTTTGACAAGTCACCAAAAGAAGTACTGAATCTGAAAAAACCACATGTGGAATGCAATTCAATATTAATGTGTCAGAAGATACAGCTTCTTCTAGAACTGGGATATGCAGAAGTCCATTTAAAGTACTTATGAAAATCATTGATTTCCATAATGAAATTATGTGTAGCTAAAAGATAATCTGTTGTTGAGAACTGTATTGGGGCAGGGGGAAGGAAAGAGAGGGAAAGTAGACATAGGTCACATATTATTTTATTATGATATACAACGGGGGCTGACTTTTGTATGTGTGTGTACAAATTATGATTATATCCTTAAAATAATACATCATGGAATCTTCAAAGCTATGGAATATTCTTCTCTTCAAGATCTGATTAGTACACTTTGGCACCATGTTAAACACTGGATGCAGACCAAAGTTTGGAAGCCAATGACCATTACTTAATTAGCTGTAATTACAGCTACAGCTAATCATAATTAATCATATGTTTAGGTACAACATTTTAAAGCTAACAATCTAGTTCCGTTGAATGGTTTTTTTTGTTAGGTTGTGCATCCTGATTTTGGAGGTCATACAAACCTTATTTGTTGAGAGTCAATTAGCACAGATAAAGAAAAAAATAATAACTCAATGGCAGTTTTGGATCATGCCATCGGGACTTTTGATTGACAAAACGTAACAAGAGAGAAAGGATTGGCGGATCATACTGAAAACCTCAACTAATATCATTATATAACTGCCCAAACTTTTTTTTTTGCCTGACGGTTTTGGTAGACAACTGAGTACAAAAAACTTTTATTCGTATTGTAGGATATTGATAAAAACGTCTCTTAAAATGCATCCTGCTTTGTCCCAGCAAAAATGGGGTATTTTATGAAAAATCTATATGTAATCAGAGCAGGCACACTTCAATATTTTATCATAATATATAATTAATGTCTGTTAAGCCTTCTGGGTGGCTTAAAATTTTTATCTTAGTTATTTTAAAGTATTGTGGTAATATTTCTACATTTTACATATTTAGTTATGTACTTCATTACATGTTTGCTTCTATGGATTAGTCATAAGCAGTGGATTTACTACTGAAATGTCTAAAATTGTTTTATTGCCTACTAGCCATCCCCTGCCACAAGTTGCTGTGGCCCAGTCTGTATATATGTCTTTTGGGTGTGTATATATATGATGTGTGTATATATTTGTCTATATGTGTATATGTGGTTTTGTGCATGCGTTGTTTTTTTTGTTTTTTGTTTTTGAAGTCCCTTACTCTGTGTTTTTCAGTGTTTTTATGAGTGATGGTCACTTATTGGCCTGATAGGTGTAATGTGTCCAAATTTCGTGTCAATTCATCCAGTGGTTTTTGAGTTATGTTAATGCCACAAATGAACATTACATTTTTATTTATATAGATGCTCCAGTCCTATGATCTTTGGAAATAGATATAAATATTTTAATAAATATAATAAAATTATACAAAATATTTTAATCACAGTACTGGTTAAAAATTCACTTCTGAAATAAATTATACTCTCTTTATATATAATGTTATATATAATGCTTGCAAAAATAATTGTCTATATTTTGTTACTTTTATTATGAAATCTGTTTTCAAAAGATCTTAAAACCATAGTGTTGCAATCCTAAAGTGATTGAATATTATTTGAACTGAAGCCATTTATCACAATGTGGCAAGGAATCCTTTAGGTATTTAAAATTGCTTCAACCAAATAACGTTTTCCCTTCACCTATTTCGGAAACATTTTTTGACTATCAGTCCTATAACTTGTGATCACTAATCATCTCAGGCATTTGACACCCATTTCTTTCTGCAGTTTCTGCAAGCAAGAACAAAATAAAACATATAATATTTATTGAACTTGAAACAGGCTAAATTATACAACTGCCTTCAATTGCTAGGTTTTCTTGCACTTCAAGAATGATAAATATGCACTTTTAAAAATATTTTTAGTTTTGTCAAGTTGGATTTATTTTATTGGAAGCACATACAAATAAGTAACACATTCACTGTCTCCAAATGGCTTTTTTATAATGGAAAAAAAGCAAAACATAATGGAAAACCGAGGAAAAGACTGAAAATACAAATCTGCAGTATATGAAATGTGGGAAGCACACATCTGATGAGATCAGTAAACCACATATAAACATTTTCAGATTGAGAATTTATTGCTTATTTTCCTCTCTTTACTAATACAAGAGTACAAAGCACTTTCAAACACTACCATGTTACCAAGATTTCACACAAATGTTATTCATTAGTTGGCAAATTAACACTGTCTTTGTGTAAATGATTTTGACTGCTGAAAAAAGGGAAATTAGCCAGTAAAAATGTAATCTCACAATATGGATTTTGTGCTATGTTCGGCAAGTATTTCATCCTATATTCAAGCACAAAGAATTCCAGAGTATGTAGAATACTAAAGACTCAAACAGCTGTTTGGTGTGAAGATAATGATTTATTTTAAATAAAGGTTTGAGTTGTAAAATACTAAGTGACACAACAGCATTAGAAAGGGGGAAAACTTGGGATTGGGCAAGATGTCTGCAGATAGTTGTCTGCATGTGGCCTCCACCATTTTTTTCCTCCTAGAGAAATTATTGTTGAAATAAAGGAATCTCCGTGCATCCTGTTTTGGCTAAAAATGTTTAAAATATATTATGGATTTGATATCTGGTTTCATACACCCACACTCCAAACAATATTCTCTCTGGAAGTGTGTGTGGGCCTCTCTAGGTCCTCCAGCTCAATACTATAATGCGGTTCTGTCCTAAGTATAGCCAAAATCTATATTTCACTATTATCAATGGTTTTACTACTATCTATACATTCTATATGTACAGGAGTCATGCTGTAATGTAATTTTGAAACTGGAAGTGAATGTTCAATGACTTCTAGGGTTTTTTTGGGGGGGGGGGCAGTAGTGCAGCCTATACAGATTTCATTTTGATGCATATGTCTGGGAAGCTCCTCCAAAGATACATGAAGTGTTTGTGTGTGCACATGTGTGTGTGGAGAAAGGATGAGAATTCCAAACACACGATTGATTCTAAATTTGTTACATCGTTCAAGGATGATGGGCTCTAGGTTGTGTGCATCTATTTTGCATCTGGAATTTTAAGATGTCTAGATCATAAAAGGACCAACGTAGAAAAATTCATACTCTTGTAAGTGAGAACCTGCCTGCCCTTTTATAAGACTCTTGCACTGATTTAGAATCAACATCCAGTGCTTAGATGGCTGCTCTAAGACTGAGTCAGAATAGCCAAATGGTAAGCTTCAAATTGGGTGTGGAGGGTAGAAAGACGTTCAGGATATTTCAGAGCATTTCAGAGATATTTCTAATATTTTAAAGCATCACATTTTCCATTTTCTAGCATTATTAGCCAGTAAGATCAAGAGCTCTGCTGCCAGCACGGTTTCTGCAGAATACCACCTGAACTGCCATAATGTTGATTGTAGCACTATTTAAGGGGCATAGAGGTTGTCATAGAAAGTAAGCAAAAGTTAATGCAAGGAAGTGGAGAGGGGGAAGGCCAACCACCACAACTGGTGTTTTTTTCTTAGCTATCATTATCATAGAAGATGATAAAATGATCCCTTTCACTCCCTTGGGCTAATTTGTAAGCACTCCATGCTGAGATTGTGCTCTATTTCAGATCTCATCTTGCAAAAATCGTAGGAGTCTTAAAACAGAATTAAAGCAATCCAGCTCTAATTAGATGCTGCTTTAGTCTCCTGTGCCATTAAAAAAAACATTGATTTGGTTCTATATATGCTATTCCTAGTGAAGAGCCTGTTCAACTCATGGAACAGATTATTTTTTAAGCAGAAGAGTGTTCTGGAAGATGGTGAATAGAAATATGTTCCAATTCTACAATGTCGTGCACAACTGTCTGTATGAGATAGCCTTTTTGGGGAGAGACACTGTATCATTTTTGTAGCTTTTGCCAAGCTACTTCTTGGCAAATAAAGCCCTAATGGCTAAAGTCCAACCAGTCCCTACTGCAAAGGGAAACTACATGCAGTCCAGCCATTAAAGCTTGCTTTGTAATGGAGACCTGTTTGTGCTCCAACTTTTATATCCCAAAGCTTACCAAGAAGTAGTGTAATATTTTACACTTGTTTGGATCAAGCTCTTTGCTTCAGGAGAAAAGAGCTCAAGAAAAAGACTTCCGTATGACATCAGAGCATTTACCTTCTAAGGGAGACACTTGCATTATCATATCCAGCCAAGAGTAAATGCTCAGTGAGGAACAGGACAACCTGAAGCTATTGGTTGTACTTTCTCCCCCGCCTTGCCCTAGAAACTTCTAGCATTGGGGGCAATAGTTATATTTACCTAATTTCTGGGTAAAGGCAACAGAGGGCTACACTATAAAATAACTAACTGTATTTATGCATTGCTTAAAAGTATTTCAGTGTGTGGCTATTTTACAGTATTTTATCCAATAGGGCTGCCAAAAAGAAATTAATTTTTAAAAAATGGTCAAATCTCTCTTTGAAAGGGATGAGTGGGTGGAGCATAACTACTCTTACCTGTACTCTGAGTGTGTGGCAGGGACAGTTAGCTGAGTATGGTACAATGGAGCTGGACAGCAAAACTGGTGCAGAGTATTTATAGACCTACGACACAAGGAAAAACAAAGTCAACACACTGTGTGTCTAGTTAGGGGCTTTCTAATGGAATAGTAGCTGCTAATGGTTACATCTGAAATGTTTCAATAGGTTTCTCCTTTTTTAAAAGCAGAAATAAATTCTCAGCTCTAATTTCTAGAATGTAAAAGAGTATACCGTTTATGTATACATCAGAAAAGATTATGATAAGTGATTGTAAGGATTAATATGTTGCTGTTGTAATAGTGGTGACAATCCCTCGATGTTCACCATTATTTTAAAACTATATCTTTGATGTGCTACGTGGAACTGGAGTAGCAAAGGAAAGAGTTAATTATTAGCTAGGATTTCTGCAGCAATGTGAAACAAGATCAGTGGATTACTTTGCACCAGTCTAGCTGTTCTTTTGAGCTACTAAAAATGCTTTCAGGCATTAGAACATAAAAGGATACTAGAAAAAATATATAGTTTTAAAATGCTTATGGCACAGTTTTTCCAAATAAACTCTACTTGTGTATTTATGGAATATACTTTTCCTACCATAAATGCCAAAGATTCAAGTCAATGTATGTTTAATAAGCCTTTAAACTATGAAAAATTAGCTACATCATTTTTCAGTAGCCAGCTACACAATACAGGGAAATACAGGTAATGGATCACAGCAACACAAGACTATAAAACAAGAGAAAAACATACACAAATGTAAAACACACAGAATTATATTTCATCTTTGACACTGATCTTGGGGAAATTTATCAGGATTATCCTCTTCCAAACTGATGTTAAGCAGCAATTTGACTAGACTAAAGAATCATATATCATTGAGGACTTTTTCTAAGTTCTCTACCTTTCCTTTTCTCTCTGAAATCCCTTTTCATTTTGTGTCCTATTTTTTCAGATAAAGTCTGAGGACAGGTGCTATCTTTTGACTTAAAAAATTAATTTATTAATAAATAATTTCTCACAAAAGTCTTTTTCCACCTATGGAGCAGCACACAAATTGTATATATAAGTAAGTAAATAAATAAATGTTCAGCTGGGTTAGTTCTAATTATTGTGTGATGAAACCACAAAATTAATTTCCTGACTGTAACAATCTGGATTGCTTGACAGCATTGATGAAATACAAGTCAATGTTTTGATAAAAATTGTATTCACTAGCTATGATCCATTCTGGCAGAGGAGAGAGAGATACTTGACTATTCATAAAAATATGAAAAAAATATTTTTCTTACCCCCCCCCCCCAAAGATTAAGATATTAAATATAAAAGCATTCTATTTTGAACTCTACTTTTTCTGACAGCAGTTCTTGAGGAGTTATAAAATAGCAGCTTGATTACCTTTAACTGTAGTTCTTTGAGTGGCCATATGTCAACTCACCCAAATGGTTTGCACTGCACAGGTGCAGGATAACCCATTTGTGTGAATCACAGGGAGGATGAAAAAGACTAACATACTATTAGTTTCAGGTGATTAAAAAGAGGTCATTCTCTTAAAATATCAAAAAGAAGAGTTACGAGAAACAAATCATGCTATCTTTCCTCAGAAACAAGGAATCAATCTATTCTCTTTAAAAAGATTTCTCTTACTATTGCTACTAAAAGGTAAATCAACAACATCCCAGCAAGGTGAGAATATTCATCATCCATTAATTTGAGATATCTGCTCTTAAAAATACCTTATCATCAAGTGACTCCGTAAAGCCCTGAACACATAACATCTAAAATGAATTCTGACCATTTAATGAAGATGAAATGCACACAATGTGGTATGATAACACAAATATACCATGAGCAGCAGAGGATTGGATCGATATATCTGCCTGTGGAAGAAGGATAAGGTAGAAGCATGTTAATTTTCTTGCCCTATTCTCCTGAACTTTGCTAAGGTTTAGAATACTCTTGAATGAAGTGAACTATGATGCAAGAAAATGATGTTTGAGGAAGAATGGGCAATGTCAGAATTCCTAACAATGTCTCTGATGTTTTAGAAAAAAGGTCAAATGTATTCATATTACTTGTAATGATCCTGAATTTTCAGACCAATGTTGTAATAAATAGGCAACAGTGATAAATGTTTTATGAACTTTATTATTGAGAAATTGTCTTGACATTAAAAACAAAATAAAATCACATTTTGATGAATTGATTTCTAAAACCTTTGTTTTAAAAATTCATTCTAATATTCATTGATGGCTTTGAAATATGCTTCAAAAAGTATTTGTTTGATTGTTTCAGCCTGAATTTCCTTGTTTCAACTGAAGGAAATTCCACCTCTTTCCTTCTGAAAACAGTTAAATATATTTTGGCCAGTGGAAATAAATCTGCTATATTGTTTTGACATAGAATCATAGAGTTGGAAGAGTTCATCTCATCCAACCCACAGCCATGCAAGAACACACAATCAAACCACTACTGAAGGGTGGCCATCCAGCCTCTGCTTAGAAACATCCACAGAAGAATCCACCACCCTGTGATGCAGCATATTCCATTTACCAACAGTACCAGGAAGATCTTCTTAATGTTTTGGTGTAATCTTTTTTTCTGAAATTTGAATCCATTGCTCTGTGTCCTAGACGCCAGAGCAGCAAAAAGCAAACTTGTCTCTTCCTCAATGTGTCATCGTTTCCAATTCTTAAACATGGCTATCATGTACCCTCTTCACCTTCTTTTCTCCAAGCTAAACATATTCAGCTCCCTAAGTTATTCCTTGTATGGCTTGGCTCCATACCTTTTATTATTTTGGTTGCCCTCCTCTGGACACATTCCAGCTTGTCAATGTCCTTCTTGTACTACAGTACCCAGAAATGGACACAGAATTCCAGATGAGGTCTGAGCAAAGCAGAACACAGTGAGACTATGACTTTCCTCAGCCTAAATACTATACTCCTATTGAGGCAGTCTAGAATTGCATTGGCTTTTCTAACTACCATATTAGTTTGTTGACTCACATTGTTTAAGTTTTCACCCATCTTATATCTGTGCATTTCATTTTTATTGCATAAGTGTAGTACCATTTCTCCTTGTTGAAATTCATTTTGTTACTTTTGGCTCAGTTCTCTAAACTATTAAGGCCATTTTGGAGTCTGTCCTTTATGACATTAGTTATCACCTCTCCCATTTGTTGTCATCAGTAAATTTGATAGGCATGCCAGCTATTCCACCCCCCAAGTCACTGATAAAGATAAAGATTGAATTGCATTGTTCCAGGACAGAACCCTGTGCACCCCCCACTTGCTACTTCTCTCCAGGATGAGGTAAGTATTATTTGGGGTTGTCCAGTTAACCAATTCTCAAACTATTTAATAGTGTAGGATTGTCTAGCCCACTATTTCTTAACTTTTAGTAAAAATGTCATGGGGAACCTTGTTGAAAGCCTTACTGAAACTGAGATATGCTACATCCAAGCATTCCCTTCATCTACCAAGCTTGTAACACTATCAAAAATGAATATAAGGTTTGTCTGGCATGACTTGTTTTTGACTAACTCATGTTGACTTTTTATGATTATGGCATTCTTTTCCAAGTGATTTCAGATTGTCTGGGGCTCTAGTCCAGACCTTGTGGGTTTATTATGCGGAAAGGAGCAATCAGACGAATTTCAAGTTTATAGTACAATTACCTAGGGTTATCATGTAATTATTATCCCTTGATGTAAGCAAAACTATATCTCAGAAATACAACTAAATACAATTAAAAGTAACTTTCCTTCATCACTTCATTTCATTTTGTTGCACAGTGAGTTCTTTTTTTCCTATTCCTATTATCTCTGTTTTCAGTTTCAGATATAGTTTCACACTGTACAGAAATTTATCTACTCCTGCAGGCAATCATTTTATTTATATTTCATTCAATGATTTACTTATTTACTCGAAATGGCAAGAGGTCAGGAAAAAAACCACGTGAAACATACCATTTGTATAAGTTTAAATTAAAGAGTTGGGAAATTGAAACTGCTTATTTTGCTCGGTGGTCTAACTATGTCTTTGTCCAGAGTAACACATAGTTTGGACTTCAAAGTGGAAAGCTACCCACTATTCAATCTTATACTGCATATATATAGAGAGAGAGGCGGGGGGAGGAGTTTGGCTAAACCCCTAAGCCCAGGGAATCTGAATTTGAAGAAACTGCCTATCGAGAGATACATATATACGTAGATAGTATACAATGCTGTATTTTTTCATCTACCTTATTTTATGCAGAACCAGATAATTTTCAAGCATGATTGGTTTTCAACTGTATGGTGCCTATGAACCTTCCCTTTCCATAAATATACGTGTTCCTGGTTTCTTCCCCATCCACCATAATCATTCTTCATTCCAATCACAGATACTTACCATTAATAACTAGTCAATCTTATACACAACCCCCAAACTCGATTCTTCTCCACAACTCCAGTCAACCACTCATTGGGAGGAACAGAAAGGGACTAGAGATGGGAATAAGTGACTCTTCAGATTTGCTAAATTATTGCACTTTCATCTCTCAATACCAGTAACTGGGGCTCTCATTAATAGAAATTGCAGTCAACTATTTCTGGACACATTTTCCATTACAGGTCGAGTATCCCTTATCCAAAATAAGAAGGACTGGAAGTGTTTTGTAGTTTGGATTTTGAAATGCCTGTGATGGGAAAGTTGTCCATGTATGTACCTAATGAGACATCTTGGATGTGAGACCCAAATCCAAACATAACATTCATTTATGCTTCATATACTCATATACTCAAAATAATCTAGTACAATATTTTAAATAATTTTTGTGAACAAAAAAAAGTCAGAAAGCAGTACTGTATCAGAAAAATATTGGTATGTGAGATATTGATAAATAAGGACTATTACAACTGTTCACTTTAAGATAAGGAGTATTCACCAAACGATGTGTATGTAATTGCAACCCTTGTCTCTCCGTGTCAGTTTCCAGTTTTCAGCTATCCTCATAGCAGATTATACTATCATGCATTTGCAAGGCTTCCCTCACAAGTGTCATAGCCTTTAACACTCCTTGCA